AGGCGCTGTTGCCAATATGTGAATTAGAAACAAGTCCCTTTAAACATTAAAACCCAACATTTGAAACATCAATTTGAATACTTTTCGAAGTGAATTTGAAAAACTCATTAATTAAACTCAGCTTTATTTTGTTCAAACTTGCATTTGCTGTAATAACCCAAATTGAGGAACATTCCCCATTGGTAATTGGGAGAAACTTTAAAAATAGGTGAAATGATGGATCAGGTAAAATGCATTCATTATTCTCTAGTTTCATGAGTTGTTTCTAGAAATGTTAAGGCAATGAATTTATCGTGTAGTAATTATGACGCGTGACGCAGAATTTGTTCAGTCAGTATGTTGAGATTTTTCGAAGGCTTTCGACTGTGTGGATCACGAAATACTATTGTGGAAGCTTCCCTACTACGGCTTCAGGGCAGTGATACTGAGCTGGTTCAGCTCTTATTGGTCAGGTCGTAGTCAGATGGTGGAAACAACTCATCGCTCAGAAATTGGGAAAATACGTAATGGTGTGCCTCTAGGTTCAATACTAGGGCCAACTTTGTTTCTCATCTACCTCAACGATTTGACAAGTATAAATAACTCAGGAAAATTCATACTATTTGCAGACGATACTAACATTTTTTGGCAATCGGGCAATGCGAAAGATTTAACTAAAATCATATCCATCGATATGATGAAAGTAAAGAATTGGTGTGATTCAAATCGCCTGTCTCTAAATATTTCGAAAACTAACATAGTAGGTTTCCGATATGAATTAGACAATATACCCATTGGGAATTGAGAGCAAAAGTAGCTTAAAATATTTAGGAGTAGGTACATTACGATAGAAAACTAAAATTTGAGGACCATATTTATGCCATGTGTAGTAAAGTGTCGTCTGGTTGTTATGCAGTCAGAGTAGTCGCAAATGAACTTGGTTTAACAGCAAGACTATATATTTTTCTCTGGTGGAATCTCACCTGAGATATGGAATTCGATTATGGGGCGTATGTAGTGGTTATCTACTACAAAATATTTTAAATTTGCAAAAACGAGCCGTAAGATATATGTGCAATTCCAAAAGTACAGACTCTTGTAGATTACTCTTCAACACTCATGGAATTCTAACGGTGATTTTTATCTTTGTAATGGAAATAGTTTGTTTAATTGAAAAATATTCGAACACATTTCAATCTTCACCAACCCATTATGTGACAAGGCAATCCAACAACATCAAATTATCAATACTAACGACATCAGGCATAAAGGATTCCATTGTCTATAATGGTTGTAAAGTGTTCAACCACTTGCCAAAAATATAACAGAAATGAAGCTTTACAATGCTTCAGAAAGGCTGTGAAAGGTATTTTAAGTGATAGACCATACAATAATATATAAAAATGTTATAATGATAATTAAAAAAAAATCTTATTTGTTTATTATTTCCCAGTATCCTGTATGACTTATATACATATACAAACTGATTTTATGTATTAAGTGAAAATTGATCAATTTAAATGCACTTTGTTTTTACATAAAAACTGTATTATATTTAAATGCACTTTGTTTTTACATAAAAACTGTATTATAGATTGAGTGAAACTTTTTGTACAAGATTACTCTTATAACAATAAATTATATTCTCTCTCTATCTCTCTCTCTGTCTCTCAGCATTGTGATGCCTGAAGATGCCGTTGTATAGCGAAACGCGTGTCACGGTTTCATAAACTTTCGAATGATTAATAATAAGTGATTAATTTGGAATTAGGTTTTCCACACAGCTTTCGCTTCTTATTTCAGTTTCTTCGAAAATTTTCAGTTTAATTATCTTCATACATACAAACGTATGTCACCGTAATATCCTGGTTACTTAGATGTGATATAGCCGCAATATAACTGATTTTTTTCTGGATATTAGGTATGTGTTTCCCGGAAAACGTGAGGGTTGGTGTCACTCGAATCACTGCAATTTTGTCTGTGAACATTGCCGTTTAAAAAAAATATACATTCGTCACTAAAACAAATATTGTGGAGATAGGTAGGATGCCTTGCAATGATTTGCGTCATGATTTCGCAGAATTCTGTTCTTCGATCAGGGTCATCTTCAGTTAATTGGTGTACCATTTTAATTTTGTATGGATGATCCCTATTCCTCTTCAAAAGTCTCCCCACAGTAAAAGGAGACACCTCACAGACATTCGCGACGGAATAAGTAGACTGTTTAGGATTTATTACCATCTCACCAATTATTTGTACTTGCTGTTCTTTCGTAATGGACGGATGACCTGGGGGCTTTTTGTTATGTACACCACCGGTAGTTGCGTCCTACAGATAGGACGATTCGGAAAATGTTCATTGAACATCCTTTCGTTCTCGTGAAAGTTACGGGTCGCACCGTAGATAAAAATGGCTTCAATTTTTCCTTCCAATGGACGAGAATGAACCATTTTAGAGATTGTTGACGTGGTACCTTTCAACTAGTAAAACCGATAACTAAATGAGAATATTCTAACTGAACAATGATGTTCATTGTCGTACTGACATTTTTTGTCGTTTTTATAAACAAACTTCACAAACTTAACAAACCTCATCGGGTTGTTGGAATCGCCATATGTCAGATAAAAAGGAATATTTCTAGAAAATCGATATTAATGTGTTTGTCTTCAGGAAATTATTAGATGTTCCGCCGAGTTCCGTGGTGGCCGTGGTAGTGGACGGACGTGCTGATAACGTCTAAAAAACTGATGAATAAGTGGCCCCCTTTATTTACGCCGGTAACCAGGCCGGGGTTGTTCGGATAACCACGAAAAGGGGGCTATATATGTGAAAAATTATCAAAAGGTCTCCCAAGTAGGAGGGGACTTCAAAAAATCAAATTGTTTTTATGTTAGAAAAAAATAAGTGGCAGCATTGTTTTGTGCAAGACCGCTGCGCCCCCCGACGAAGCTTCTGTTAAACAACAGGAGAAGCATTGGTCATATGCGCCTGAAGATAGGAAGCAACGGCCATCTAAAATAGAGAAAGAGAGAAAAGTTCCGCCATTTTGTAGTAGTTGAAGTTATCGACTTCATATTCTAGGTTTGTGAAGTATTCATCAGGAGCTTCAAAATGATGTCTCGAAAGACCTCCCTTTTCATTTAATTTGTTTTTCCCAGATGGCGCCCACTCGCCATCTTGAAAGTTTCATCTGTCAATTTAACTTCAAAATGAAGTATTCATGCGTTAATTCCATTATTTCAAATTTCAATTTTTTGAGTTGACCCGTTCAAAAAATGAAAGGGGAGGGCATTAAAGAAGTGCACTCACTCTATATTCATCAGTTTCTATAATGCCCTTTCAAAGTAGTCTCCCTCAGATATGATATACTTGTGCCAGTGTTCTTTTCAATATTTGAAGCAGTTCTGCTATGCACTACTTTCTATCTCCTCAATCGTCGCAATAAGCCGTCCTTTCATGGGTCTCTTCAATCTTGGAAACAGGAAAAAGTCGCAGGTGGCCAAATCTAGTATATACGGTGGCCGAGGCATCATTACGGTGTTTTTTGGTCAAAAAATTACGAACAAACATTGACGAGTGGGAAGGTGCATTATTGGTGCATAATTTCAAGATGATACACTTTATTGACCGTACGACCATGTGGCAAGAGCTTCTGATGCACAACGCCACGGTAATAGAAAATACAGTGAGCAAAAACTTGACATTTGTTCGAACTTTTTTTTTTGGTCTTGGCTCTCCTGTGCTCTCCTATTGGACGATTGGACTTTGGTATCGATGTCATAATGATATACCCATGATGCGTCACCAGTTATAACTCTTTCAACAAAAAAATGGATCGCCGTTAACGTCATTTAACAATTTCTGAGCGATACTTATGCGACGGTTCTTTGGTCAAAATTCAGCAATAAACTAAACATGCTAAACATCTGAAACTGTAAACATATGTTCGGGACGAGTGTACCAACATAAAAAATGGCTAATTGAATGTACGCAGCCCGCGAAATTTGAACATTAACCTTATTTTTTGAACAGACCTCGTTAGTATATCCCATCCAGGGATTAATGCATATTTACGTTCGGAACTCTGATTTAATATTTGCACGAATTTTCTGTAGTAATGTTATCTATTCTATAAAAATGCTCTATTGTATCCAAAGCTTCATTATTGAATTGAAATATGATGTTCAAACAAGGGAATGAATAGGTAGTGTTTTGTGGGACATTCTTTGTACCGAACATGGATCACAGTGAGAAAATCGAAAGAAAAATTCATCCCAGAGAGAGAGCTAATGTGTTCTCTCTCTTAACTTTTCTGTGAGTATGAAAATTTCGAATATTCATTCATTGGGTTAATACGCATTGTTCATCATTTATATCTGCTCGGTATATTCCAGCTCCCGTTCCATGTTTGGTCTTCGATCCATCTGTATACCAGGTGTTTTTTCCAGGATGACTAATGGTCTTCCACTCTTCACTGCTTATGATTTTGGCCGTGAAGTTTGTGTTAAAGGTGTACTTCGGTGTCATGTGGTCCGTGCAATATGCAATATGTGTCCGAAATTTCTGTTCGGACGATCTTTTGTAGTTTGGTGAGTTTTCCAGTCTGAATTGGCCCATCCTGGCCTCCCCCATCATCACAAAGTGTAAAGGAGGTAGATTCAGGACTGTCTCCAATGCAGCTGTTGGGGTAGTTCTCATTGCTCCCGTCATTCCCAAATATGCAAGTGTTTGCACTTCGCCTAGTTTGTTGGTAGCGGTCGCCTGCTTCATCTTTGGCCACCAGACCAGAGAGGCGTATGTTATCATGGGTTTAACCACCATCATGTATACCCAATATACCCCGATGTTTTTTCATAGGTGCGCCTGGCGAGCATCAGTGCTACCTCCGCTTTCATTTTTATCCTGTTCAAGTGTTGGTTCCAGGTCAGTTTGGAATCTAGAATTACTCCCAGAGATTTAACCTCCCCCGGCACTTGTATTTCTTCACCTCGAAGTTTCAGAGGTCCGAGACCCTCCGTTTTAGTCCTCTTGTCGATTTGGATGGGCTTATGTTAAGCCTTTCTTCTTCGGTTCATCTTCTTATAATATTCAGCGCCTGCTGCATGCATCCCTTCACTACATTATTGTATTTACCCTGGACAAGATGACTAAGTCGTCTGCATAGCCCAGTGCTTTCCACATAGTATGAGGCATAACTCCAATATAACTCTGGTTTGACCCGTTTGCAGAAGGTTATGGTAAATTACACAAGCCGCTGAACATCATACAGTAACCATGGGCTTTTTTGGTGGGTTTTCGCCATTAGGAAGTGCCTAGGTGGCACTTCACTAGCCTTAACGTCTAATTTTGTTGTAGAGGATTCACTTTTCATCACACGTGACGATCCGATCCAAAAAAAGATCGTTTTGGTTGCGCAAAAAGTAAAAAAGAGCAGACTTCGAAACGTGACAATTTCTGCAGACCTTTCAAATCGTGGGGTACCCATTTTTCGAGTTCTTCAACCTCCTCAATACGATTCAAACCATCAAAACCGAGTGGGAGCTGACGCCCAGTTCTTCTGCCATCCCACGCACCGTTGGGTCAGTCTCCACCAGCATCCTCAAAGCTAGCCATAAAAAAGTTTCAATAGAAATAATGGATCGATAGTCCGGTACATGCTACATGCTACCGTATCGTTGAAGAGGTGTAAAAAACTTCTAGTGGCCTATATGTTGGTGGTGACGGGCATTTGATTAGTTTTAGCTGTAAAATTTCACCTTGTTCCTATCCTCGAAGTACCGGGTCACGACGAATATTGACAGGTACGACAAAGACACGAAACTAGTTCATGACATAATAACGAAGAAGAAACGTCGTCGCTCAAAGGGACCTATGTGATCAGAATTCCAGGAACTTGTGAACTAAAAGTAGACACCACTATTCTACAGACAAAAAAGAAACCATAATTTCGTCGGTATTAATTTGTGGTCAATATTCCTGTACATCGTTATGACCTGTCTCGCAACATACCTGATCTCAGTTCAACTAATAAAGAAACTTGGACCGCCCAGAAGAATTATACAGGACCCCGATACGGAAAATCAGTGTATACCTTTGAAAGTATTAAGATTAGAAATCAGGTTTGAATAATCAACCCTAATTTTTAAGGGGAGGGGAGGTGTTATGTACGGAATACTGATGATATAGTCAAGGTCATTTCCCGGAGCGCATTTATATCAAGTATTTCACGCTGGATACCAATAATTCAATAGATTTTGTAATTCTATCCAAGTTTGCCCGATATTGTAAATATAATAATAATAATAATCGTCTTTATTGTTTCCCAGCTGTAGTTACATACAAATATTTAGATAAATCACAGAGCTAGTTGCTGATATAACAAAAGGCGAAGTTAAACTCAGTTAGCAGGGCCGTCGCCATGTGGGAGCCTTCCCCCTGCTTTTTCGACTTGGGAAAAAGTTGGTAAATTTTGGGTCATGAAGATAGAAAAAAATGATAGTAAAAATATGAATAGAAATTAAAAAAAATAAAAATGAGAGAAAAGAAAAGAGAGATGATAAGAAAAGGGAAAGAACCAGGAGAAGGTTGGAATTTTCCAACATGCATAACTTGAAGAAAATTTTGTGTTGTTTGAAATCTTCGAAAAAGTTTAATTTCTTCCAAGTAAGAAAAGAGTCCTGAACAGTCCTCATATTTTGAAGTGACAATTTTACAAAATTCCCAACTTTTCGCTGTTATTCCGACTTGGAAAAGTTGGGAAATTTCGGGCCGTGAAGATAGAAAAATTAATAGTAGAAAACAATAAGCACAATATTATTTAGGTGTTGGTTCCTTTCATTTGTATTGAATATGGTGGATATGGTGGAAGACCAAGGACCTTGATCCAAAGTAGAATAATTCCCATTATTATTTTTATAATCACCAATATTTATTTTTGTTTGTGCATACCCTAACGGGCATAAGCATTCAGCCAATCTTTGGATAGCTAAGTAAGAAAACTAATATATTATAGTAGTAACTGATCCTTAAGCTAAGAAAAAAGAAAGTACCTAATACATGAAAAAATGGGATTGTTCAAATATCTATTATGATGCTGGAGAAGATGTCCATTACTGAGACTTGTTCTGCTCTCAAAATGATGAAAAATGTATAGGGTTGGGAAGTTTATACTTAAAGTTGGCTTTCGAACAGAAGGAGTTTGAATATTTTCCGTAAAACAGAAAGTTCTGAATTTCTTATTACTTTTGGTAACAGGTTAATTACTTGGCATAGGTATATTATAGCTAAAAGATCGCTTGAAAAATTCAATTTAAAAATTAGGTGGGGTGAAAGTACCCTTAAATCTGATGTTCAGATTCGATCAGAGTCGATTATAACTTTTGCATTCATTTGTGGGTTGTTTTCCGACGATTCTTTTTTGATCCGAAAAGGATGATTTTCGATTTAGCGGCATTTAGTAGCAGACAGTGAACTCTTGCCAACTCAACAAATGACTCGAGATAATTGTTAATGAGTGTACATGCGTTTTCTACACCTTGAGGGAGAAATCTGTGATAGAGTTGAGTGTCATCAGCATAAAGGTTCTAGACTACGCAACATGTTTCATGAATAAATTGTAAACAATAGTGGACCCAATATTGAACCCTGTGGCACACCTCACCTAAGTTTTAGATAGTTTGAATAGATTCCACCCTGACACACTTTTTGTTCCCTGTTTTTGATGTAACATTCAACATTCAATCGAATCTTTGGCTTTGACATTACTGGTAAAATATAATTGTAACTCAACTTTGACTTTTTCGGAGAGAGTTTCATTTTTTAAAAATCGATTTCGAAAGCTCCCAAACTTAGTTCGCGCTCACGAAGAAAGACAAAGAGTATGCAGCAAAACAAATATCTATGAATATATGTATCCGGTTTTAGACCATGACTAAGTTCTATTACACAGCCATTTTTGTCATGTTTTGTTAGAAATATAAATGTAATAATAGAAATTAATATGGCATTACTCCAAAATTGAGTGTTTATTTGTCATTGAAAATCAATGACATTATTGAAAATGTTTGTTTACTGTGAGTAAATGGGATATTCTTTCCTAACTTGAATGTGTTTGGTAGCTACAAACCTGTGTCAAAAAACTCGTTTCATGTGCAGTGAATAAACTGTTTATCGGTGGAAACGAACATAATTTATTCCAAGATAATCCCTTGACAATCTTCATTTTTGTTTAGGTACACCAGAAAAATATTTTCTTCTGGATTTAAGAAAGATCTTGAAGATGACGACCTGTACAATGTCACTAGGGACTGTAAATCGAGGAAGTGCGCCGATAAACTGGAACATTCATTGAAAAATGAGCAAAGGAGATCGAAACCATCTACTTACAGGGCCATGTGGCATACCTATGGCATCAAGTATATCAGCTTAGGGTTAATTAATTTGATTATGCATTTAGTGAGAGAGTAAGTATATTTTTACTGCTAAAGTTTATTGATGTGGTTGTTCTGTGGCTGTTTTCAGGAAAATTTGTTGAAAACTTTTCTATATTTCTCAATAAAAATATCTTTGTTCTTAATCTCATATGTCAATTTGAGTTGAGGTACTTTCAGAATTCCTTTGTTCAATGTTATGGTTGATTTTTGGCATATTGTATAGAAGAACCTTTGCCTGATCTAGCAGTAATAAAAATAGTGAAGCCGACCAACCATTAGACTTTTGATCGTGATCATTTCGGTAGATTCATTTCATTAAAAACATTACACTTGTGGAGACTTGGCCTTTGGACGTCTGTACCGCATCCGGAACTTATTACCTCTGTTACTTTGGCAATAAAGTTCAGCAATATTTCGTATTTTCTATTCTCTTTCCCGAAACAGTGAAAAATGTATTTTGAAGGCATCATGAATATTTATTTGATGAAACTGATTACTCCTAGATCAAAACTTTCTATATCCAAAATGAATTACATCATTTTCCTATTCAACATCAATCCTGCTTTTACCGAATAGAAATGGAACCCGAGTTCATCCAAAAACGGACATTTCGAGTACCTCAGGATAACCTTTGGTCTAAAAAACACCCCCTCAATATTTCAACTGGCAACTGGTAATGTTCTGTGACCTCCAAAATAGTTCTACTATATAAATTATAGTTTAAGCTTCAAAAACGTTTTCAAGTCGAGACCCTCTCCTCACGATTACACATCTGTAAGATTGACAGACAATGGAGGGACGATAGTGAATTGGTTTGCGTCAATTGTTCGTTCTACTCATTTGATCGACTTCTGTTTGGAATTGTGGATCGAGTCCGATGGCTGTACGATCAATGTCAACTAAGTGTCGTCTAATCCTTGCTAGAGATCACACGTTAAAAAATAAAACCACAGTAATCTTCAACTCCTGAGGGTTATCATTTGTGGGAGGGCGCAAATAGATTACCTTGAAAACATATTTAAATAGAATGAAAACTCAAAACATGAATGTCAATAATAAATAAAGTGGCCCATTGCAAAGCTAAGCCGAATGAGACTCATCTCGTGTCTTTCTCTGCCGTGTTCACTGTAGGTTCAACTATTTGGCGTTGAAGCTTGACTTTGCAACAAACCAATTTGCTAAGCCTCGTTTATCATTGACGTTCGTCGATCACATAGACTGCGTCGTGGTATGGGAAGATGCCCTCACTTTTCCTCACATAGGCCTATCTTTTAAGGATAATTCAGACCAGCAATGCATTCATAGTTCAGGCTAGCATCAATGATGAAATTTAAGGCGGGTCGAAACGACGCTGTCTGGTATTGGAACGAATGTTTTTTCTGGGCTCTATTATGGTAATACTCTAGACAGTGACGAAATATGACCCAATTTTCGAAAATTTGAAACAGTCCATAAGATAGAAGGTTTATAAGAATTGACAGAATCAACAAAATATTTCAATAAATTAAGCATTCAGCAATTTCTCTTCCTATCACCAATGGAAACATTACCCTCATACGTTCATTTGGAGTTCACCATATTTCTAATTGGCTTTTACTGTGTCAAATACATCAGAGGAAAGATTTCCTGTCATTTTTGTTATTGTCGAACGGTTTGATGTTGAACATTTGTTGTCAATACTTAATGTATTTTCAATACCTTTCAGGAAATGTTGTGAATGTGATTACCAAGGATGTCTCACAGTTTGGAGGCGCCGTTTGGTTATTCAATGATCTTTGGACGGCAGTCATTCAGATGAATTTTGTCTCCTACCTCATATACAAGAAAATTGGTATCTCCTCTTTTGTAGGAATATCAATGTTGTTATCACTAATACCTCTACAAAGTGAGTATTTATGATCAGTGGATATTGAGGTTCAAATCAGATACGTTATTTTCAATTTGATTTCATCAATTATATGAAAGTCGTTCATTTTGAAGTCAATTGAAAGGTTTTCTGTGTGATATAAACATCCCCTAATTGATTTCTTCAATTTTTTAGTTTACATTGCGTCAATCTTGAAGAAAATCAGACTAAAAATAAACAAGAAAACGGATGATAGATTACAAAAAACTCAAGAGGCTTTGTCTACGATCAGAACTATCAAAATGTACACATGGGAGAAAATCTTCGGGCGTAATATTGAAGAATCTAGAAAGTAAGTGATCTCATTTTCTGTTCTCGAGTCACTATTGGCACTGTTGGCGGACTTTTATTTAGAAGTATTCAAGATAAACAATCTTACAGTACATTATATCTGCATGTGAGTCTAACGGTATAGGCAGCGCACGCATATACTGACCAAAATTACACAAAATTTTCGTTAATTGTACCCTATATATTATTCTTATGTTCAAGCTGAATTCATGTAAAGTTTCACGACAATCCGTTCAGTCGTTTAGGCGTGAAAGATCCACAAACATACATACATCCATCCTCACAAACTTTAACATTTATATTAGTATCGATATCCAGAAATATCAAGATCACAATCTCAACTTATTCGTATAATGAAACATTTATCATTCGAATGTTACCGTTATTCTGAATTTTAATTAAATCGAAAAGAATACGGAATATATTCGTGATGCATCTAGCGGCGTCAAGTAGGTAGGCTTTTGTTGATAAATACGAGCTTAGTCATCCAAAAATTGTATTTTCAACAGATGTTTATGGTGAAATTTCTCATTATTTCTCGTTCATTTCAGAATTGATATTTCTTTCTAATGTCGATGCATTCAACTGAGAATATTTCAGAAAATGATTTTTAGGAATACCACCCGACCTAAAAACTCTCTCAGATGAATGTTCATTTTTGAACCCAAACTTTGTTATTTTTGAGCATCACCGATCAAGCAAGCAGCAAACCTCTTGGTTCTATCAAGCTATTGACTCTCAGGTATTGCTAAATAACAAAACTTTCGTTAGAAAATGGAGATTCATCGATAAAATTTTGAGGTCTTCAGGTATGAATTTTTCCCTTGATGAGTGAGAAGTTATATGTTGAGGCACATAAACTTTTGCTTGGAGAAGAGAGTTTTCCCAAGTATATGGAAGCAGTCTATCGTGGTACCAATACCCAAAATTAAAGAACCTGAGGAATTCAAAGACTTGCATCCTATAAGTCTTCTTCCACTTCTTCCTAAAATTTTGGAAAAGGCTATTGCTCAACAGTTGAGAAACCACCTTCACAACAACAATGTACTTTCAATTATGCAATCTGGTTTCAGACCAAACTATAGCTGTGCTACAGCTTTATTGAACATATTAGATTCTTCAATTTTTTAGTTTACATTGCGTCAATCTTGAAGAAAATCAGACTAAAAATAAACAAGAAAACGGATGAGAGATTACAGAAAACTCAAGAGGCTTTGTCTACGATCAGAACTATCAAAATGTACACATGGGAGAAAATCTTCGGGCGTAATATTGAAGAATCTAGAAAGTAAGTGATAGAGGGTTTTACTGTTGATTTTCGATAACCAAATCCTGCACTGAAGATCTCATTTTCTGTTCTCGAGTCCAACCGTATAGGTGGCGCATGCCAAGATAGCTCTCGGGGAGCAAGAATTTTTCCGATTTACTTTATACTTATCGCTATATTCTGACCAAAATTACACAAAGCTTTTGTTAATTGAACCCTATATATTATTCTTACGTACAAGCTGTATTCATGTGAAGTTTCATGACAATCCGTTCAGTCGTTTAGGCGTGAAAGATCTACAAACATACATACATCCATCCTCACAAACTTTAACATTTATGTTAGTATCGATATCCAGAAATCTCAAGATCATAATCTCAACTTATTCGTGTAATGAGACATTTATAATTCGAATGTTACCGTTATTCTGAATTTTGATTAAATCGAAAAGAATACGGGATGTATTCGTGATGCCTCTAGCGGCGTCAACAGATGTTTATGCTGAAATTTCTCGTTATTTCTCGTTCAGAATTGATATTTCTTTCTAATGTCGATGTATTCAACTGAGAATATTTCAGAAAATGATTTTTAGGAATACCACCCGACCTAAAAACTCTCTCAGATGAATGTTAATTTTTTAAACCCAAACTTTGTTATTTTTGAGCACCACCAATCGAGCAACCAGCAAACCTCTTGGTTCTATCAAGCTATTGACTCTCAGGTATTGCTAAATAACGAAACTTTCGTTAGAAAATGGAAATTCATCGATAACATTTTGAGGTCTTCAGGTATTGAGGTGATGAGTGCGAAGTTATATGTTGAGGCACATAAACTTTTGCTTGGAGAAGAAAGTTTTCCCAAGTATATGGAAGCAGTCTATTGTGGTACCAATACCCAAAATTAAAGAACCTAAGGAATTCAAAGACTTGCGTCCTATAAGTCTTCTTCCACTTCTTCCTACAATTTTGGAAAAGGCTATTGCTCAACAGTTGAGAAACCACCTTCACAACAACAATGTACTTTCAATTATGCAATCTGGTTTCAGACCAAACTATAGCTGTGCTACAGCTTTATTGAACATATTAGATAATATCGTCGCAGCATCGGATGAAGACGAAATCACTGTCCTACTATTGATCGACTTCAGCAAAGCTTTTGATACATTGAATCATCAACTACTTCGATCTATATTACATTATAATGGACTTTCTCGAAGCACTTTGAAATTTTTTTATTCATATCTTTCACATAGACAACAAATTGTTATAGTGGAGAACCACATGTCAGATTTCGAAAATACTTCTTCAGGTGTCCCACAGGGTTCAATCCTTGGACCTATCCTCTACATAATTTACACCTCCCATTTGACAAACTGTTTGAAAAAACTAAAATATCATATGTATGCCGATGATACACAGTTGTATTATTCTTTTACTCCTGACAGCAAAGCGAAAATATCATTAATGAGGATTTCAATCACTTCGTGAATGTATCGAAGAAGTTATTGATTCCAAATGCTCTGTGGTTGTATTTGGAAGGGAAGTCACAAGGTCGAAACTTAGCGATCTGATCGTAAACATTGATGACACTGTTTTACCGGTTGTAAATCAGGTTAATAATCTAGGAGTTTTTATCGATGATGAACTCGAATTCAAAAAACATACTTCAACATTGATCCTAAGAGCATTTGGGAAAATGAAAGTATTATACCCTCATAGGCATGTCTTGAGCCTAAAAACCAAATTACTCATTTGTGATTCGTTGATACTATCCATTTTCTGAATGAAAATGAGCAACAACGAATTTAAAGAGTTCAAAACTCTTGTTTGAGATTTTCGTCCGGTGTCAAAGAAAGAGAACCGATTTCTCATACACTCAAAACAGCCAGGTGGCTGAAAATGTACGATAGGCGGACTCTTCATTCTTCGACATCATTTCATAAAGTTATTGTCAATAGAACACCGCCCTACCTCTATAACAAAATAACTTATCGAACTGATGTTCATAATGTGAACATCAGGCGCAAAATGATCCATGTTGTTAGACACTCCATTGAACTATTCAAAAGGTCACTTACATATACAATAGCTGAATTCTATAACAAACTGCCACCTTCGATTCGGTCGAAACCTGTTTCCAGTTTCAGGTACTGCCTGAAAGAACACCTTCTGAAAAAACAATAATACCCAAATATCTTCTACGACACATTGGCTCTTGTAAGCCATAGCTAACATATTTGTAGTATTCTTATTTACTGTTGATTATTTCTCATAAAATTGCTCACATAATTGTTTTTTGCAGAAAAGAAACAAAGACTCTTTTAAAAAGCTCTGTTATTTGGACGCTGATGATTACTGCGAGTAGTTTGGTGGGAAAATTCGCATTCTATGCCTTGATTATGATATATGCTTACGTCAACGAAGATATAAGCGCCGAAACTGTATTTTACCTAATGAGAAATTTCGACACTCTGGTTCATACCATCTCACAGTCATTTTCAATAGGTTTTGCAGTATGTGCATCAGTGATGGCTTCCGTGAACAGAATAGACAGAGTGTTGCAGTTGGAAGAACTTGAAGACGACCAGGTGGATAAGCCTGATGACGATCCGTTGATCGATATACGGAACGTCAGTTTAACCTTGAAAGATACAAACATTCTAAAGAATATCACTGCGAAGATGGAAGTTGGAGTGAACGTTTTAACAGGCCAGTTGGGATGTGGAAAGAGCTCGTTGATAAAAGTGATTCTGAAAGATTATCCAATAGATGAGGGGGAGCTGCGAACGAGGGGAAGAAAGAGCTATGCCTCTCAAGACCCTTGGCTATTTCCTTCTACCATAAAACAGAATATTTTGTTCGGGGAGAAATATGACTACAGAAGATATAAAAAGGTCAGTTGATGTCTTGATGCATTGTTGAAGAATTTTTGGTTATTGGACTAGAGTACTTGATTTCATTTATACTTTAAGATTTTTTCCAATGTTCAACACCGTTGATACTACTGTTCATTCATATAGTGTTGCGGATTCTATGACATGATGAAGTTATATGGTGATGTAAATATAAGGAAGATCGTTGATGTGAATTGTGATGACACTTACAATAGTAATTAACGCAACGAGTCCGGAAAATACTGTTTTTATGGACGAGTGGACAAATGTTTAGGACGAGCCGTAGCATATGCGAGTCTTGGAAGTTTGTGAGTCCATAAAACTGTTTTCGAACTTGTTGCGTTCATTATTTTTTCGGCAACCGTGTAGAATGAAAAAATGAGAAATATTTCTTTATTATATTTCTTTGTAGAACAAAATTTTGAACGATTTAATTTTAATTTCTGATAAATATTGAAATTCGAACAGAATATAGGTACTCATAGAAACTCTGAAACTCTTATTTATATTAATATTTATATGAACATTCGAGCAATTACTAATATTGGACGAATTCAATTTGTTTGAAAAGATTGTTATATTCAAATGTCTTTTGTTGAAGTCAGAACAAAAAGGTGAAGTTCTTATGTTTCAGATTGATGATTTTTATATATTTTTTGAAATATGAAATTTTTCACAACTCTGCCTTTCGAAGGACCCTGTGTAGTCAAAAATACTTTTACAATACTTAATTATCAAATTTGCCTCTATACAGGGTGTTTCATTTACCTGACTGACAATATGCCGTTGGGAAAGTTCTGAAATTCCAAGTATATCCGGAGATATCCGGAAAAAAACAGAAATTTTTTTTTTCCCTGCTACTTTATGATGTTTTCAGATTTGCTCTCCGACTTTTCGTCTTCCAGCCACCATCATCAACTTTATTTTCTTTTATAATGCGTTTTTGGGCAACACATATTCTAATAAAATCTCTACCACACCCCCATGCCGTTATATTTAAGGAAATATGCGGATATGCCATTGCAAAATATATACTTGAGATTTTTTTATCTACAAGCAATTTCATTTGATTGATCGTGAAGAATGCTGCATTAAGTTTCTTGCAAACCCCATCAATATGTAATGCTTTTTTGCAGGTATCTTTTTGGCAACACTGAATATTTAAATGAAATACACTCATGGTTTCAAGTTCGTCAAAAGTTTTTGTTGAGTTGTTTGAACCAACTTCACCTCTACTGGAAATATAATTAAGAGCTGCTTCTTTCGTGTTGAGGTTCAGGAACATCATGTGGTCGGTACCGCAGTCACCTTCCTTTGAAAAAATTTACTTACACATGCTCCGTCAGGCCACACTTTTGGGTCTATGGCTTTTTAAAATTCTCAACAAATATTGACACATTGAACGATGAGAATATGGAGGGGTATTTTGGTGTCAAAGGTTCGCATTTTGCCTCAGCAAAATTCTTTTACAGTTCAGCCTCAAGCACATCTGGAGTGGTTTCACAATCAATTCTAAATACGTGAAGGGTTAATAGTTTTTTAACTCCTTTTATGGAAGTTTATTTGTTATTCCCAATGATTAACCGTTTATGGTTATTTCTTCTGTGGTGAACATTCTTCCATTCTTCATTTTTCGGGTTAACTCTNTCTATCATTGTTATGATAGTAAATGAGTATGTTTATAATTATTTTCTTATACTCACTGTATAATTTTTGGGAGGGGTGGAAGATAGCCTTTGGCTAATCCTTTTCCTTTCATGTATGAATGTTTTTTCAAGCATGATGAACGATATTATTATTATTATTTTGATTTTTCTCAAAAACCGTTTGTATATTCAATTTATATTTTCTTTCCTTCAGAGTAGTCCCCCTCAGATGTAGTACAATTGTGCTAGCGTTTTTTCCAATCCCCAAAGCAGTTCTGATATGCACTTTTCGGTATGTTCTTGAACTCTCTCAGCGATTTGGTTTTCATCTTCTCAATCGTCGCAAAATGCCGTCCTTTCATAGGTCTTTTCAATCTTGGGAACAGGAAAAATTCTCAGAGGGTCAAATCTGGCGCATAACTTTAAGATAATTCTCCTTATATACTATACGCAAGGACTACACTACGGTAATCAAAGAAAACAGTGAGAAAAATCTTGACCAAAGTGGTGCTTTTTTGGTCTTGGCTCTTCTGGGCTCTTCTATTGGGACGATTGGACTTTTGTTTCGATGTCGTAGCCATATACCCATGGTTCGTCACCAATTATGACCCTTTTGAAGTTCAATTCTTGAGCGATGCACATCGTACATAGTTGCTAAGTTTTGATCAAAACTTAGCAACTATGGGACACATTACACGAAATATGAACATTCACTTCATTTTTTGAACACACCTCGTATGTGATGAATGACAAAATACTCTTTCTAGTAGCTACCAGGGTCGTAATAAAGGGTGACTTACTTTATAGTAGCAACATATAAACATTTTTCAGTTATTTGGAACCAGAAGCCATATCAAAACTGGTTGCTTATTTTAAACCAGGCCAAACCAAAATGACTTTTAATGATGCTTTATTGTACGCTGGAATAATGTTGGGTCTGAAGCTCTTGCATACTTTCTACAAAAACAACTACGTAATATTCTTGTATCAAATGGCGTTGCAGATGAGAACGGCGTTCAGTTCCGTCATTTATAGAAAAGTGTTGAGGCTGAGTCCAAAAGCATTAGAAAATACGGGTTTGGGTGAGTAATTATTACATTAAACAACCAGAATAGCTTTTCTATCAGTGTTGTTAATACTAATTTACACTGATATTTGATGGATAAACTCAAGAACTACTTAAATTATTTCAAACATTTGGTCACCTATAAAAAGCTTATCTCAGAAAGATGTGTAGATCATGCACATGAGTTTCTTTCAGATACAAATTGAAAGAAAAACACTTTCAAAACAATTGCTTTCAAACATACGAACATTGAAATATACGAAAATCACATTTTCCATTTCTGTTTGTACTCCAAAACATTGTTATGAAATTGAAACAGTGCTCTTCCATATATTAACGTAACGTAACGTAACGTAATATATGAAAGGGCACTAAGGTACATTTTCACTTACATTTCAATTCTCGTTTTCTTAAAATGGGTCTAAGAATTACCTCCTTAAATATCAGCATGTGTTTAAGGAACACCCTGTAAAAATCATGACAATTGCCATATCTCGTTCCATGCAAAACTTTTTCAAATCCAGTTGTTTCACTTTGTTATTTTTTCCTTCACGGATTAATATGATTGCCCCACCATGCATATTTACAGTCCTACTAAAATAAGAGACAAGTTTATAGTCTGGGATTTTACATAAAAACAAACAATTTTCGTTAAGCCATTGTTCTGTTAGGCAGATAATGTCAAATTTGAACTCTTCTAAAAATATATGGAGTCAATCCGTTTTTTTTGGGAAGTGACTTTGAAAAAATTTACTTACACATGCTCCGTCAGGCCACACTTTTGGGTCCATGACTTTCTTAAAATTTTTAACAAATATTGACACTTTGAACGATGAGAATATGCAGGGGTATTTTGGTGTCAAAGGTTTGCATTTTGCCTCAGCAAAATTCTTTTTCAGTTCAGTCTCAAGCATATCTGGAGTGGTTTTACCATCAATTCTAGATACGTGAAGGGTTAATAGTTTTTTAACTTTTTTTATGGAAGTTTCTTTGTTTTTCCCAATGATTAACCGTTTATGGTTATTTCTTCTGTGGTGAACATTCTTCCATTCTTCATTTTTCGGGTTAACTCTCCCTTCTGTGAAAGTTGGAGGGCAATCATTCTCTACATTTGTTTTCGTCAAGTTTACTATTTCTGCATATTTCATTTCTGTCTGTACTTTCAGAAGTTCAGCTGATACCTCCGTTCCCGAGCTTGTATGATCAGTTTTTTGTTTAAGGGCACATGTCGATTTGTTTGGATTATTTGCTAACCCATTCATTAAGCCAATTTATTTATACAGCAATTCTATTTTTTCTCTAAGCTCTTGAATGATAATGTCTTTTTGTCTGAGAATATATGATAACAAATGAGATTTTCCCTTTTTGTCAGGATCTACTTTCTTGAAGGGCATCATAAAAGTCAGTATCGGAGTCCTCGTTCCATCCGTTGGCTTTCTCACAGCACATAACTTCACTGTTGTCATCTGTGAACTTCACATTCACGCAATGTTTTGCACAACTCATGCGGAACATATTTGAACAGTTTTTGCATTTGATGCCAGTTATAACTTTGGATTTACAGCGTTTACACAGGACAGCTGTGGAAGGTACGCCCGAGCCGCCGGGCATCGTAACTTAATTATTCTAGTAGCCACCAGTTTTTCATACAATTTCGAAAGAGAACAAAGTAATGAAATTCGTCGGTAGTTATTCAGGTCATTTCTATTTCCTTTTTTAAAAATAATAATGACTAAGGCTTTCTTGAACTCAATGTAACACATGTTGAACACAGATATGATACGATTGCTTTATTTATAGGTCGTTGAGGTATGTGCTTTGGAATATGATTTCAAACTACTTGAGGATGGAGATGAGACAATTATCGCCGACAGAGGGCTGAACTTGAGTAAAGGACAGCAGGCCCGTGTAAACTTAGCCAGAGCTATTTACAAAGACAGTGACATCTACCTCATCGACGATGCTTTGACGGCTCTAGACCCCCAGGTTCAAGAACACATCTACAACCAGTGCATCAAAGGTTTTCTGAAAGACAAACTGGTGCTGTTGGTCACGCACAATGCTAAACATATCGCTGGTGCGGATATGCTTCTGATCCTCCAAGATGGGAAGGTTAAGTTCGCAGGAAAACAGATCGACATTTCCCAGGATATTTTGGAAGAATTCGAAAGAGAGGACGAGGTTCCTAAAGTGATGAAAGCGAAGCAGGAAGCCGCCCTCAAAGATGAAGAAGACGACGAAAGTTCTGAATTGTTAGGCCAGGTCGAGAAGAAAGGAAAAGCAGTTTATCATGAGGTTAAGAAAAAAGGAAAAGTAAACTTATCGGTATATACCAAGTTCATAAACTTAGGTGGAGGATGGCCAATTGTCTTGTTCCTCATACTATTTTACTGTATATCAACTTTCGTCAGCAGCTCGTCCCAGAAGATGCTGAGCAACTGGTAAGCAGTGTAATAAGTGAGTTCAACTTTATAGAGACTGGGAGTTCTTCTTCAAATGAAATATTTTGAGCGTACTGGTGAGAAATATTTCAATACGGTGTTATCATTTGCAAGAAAGTAACTCAGAAATAACCAAACAAATGCAATTTATAATTAAACACCTCTATAATGTATTATAGCGCAAGAGCTTCATGCTCTCCATTTTTCTTGGTTGAATCATTTCGAAAACGACTGATTGCTAACTTCCCTAGCTATAAAACGAGAAGATTTTTAGTATCCACAATTGTCTTCGGGTGATGACTGGACTATTCCTCCAAGAGATTACTATTTATAGGTCATTCGAGTGCTTTCACCTATCTCCTCTTTCTTTTCTCCGATTCACCGGTTTAGCGGAAGATGACCGTTTGCTGGGAGTTGAACGTTTTCTGCTTGATTACGGGTTTCTATATGTTGCGTATCTCTACGCTAGCTTGGCTGAATGCGTCGTTGGACAACATATAGGGTGGGCCATCGAAAACTTGACATGGAGGTTTTGGGTACTAATCTTGCAAATCCTATGAAACGCTCACACAGGTCTATTTTTATTGGAAAAGAAACAGTTTTTTTCCGATTTACAGCGTTGTCACTTCAACCCCGTTGCAGAGGGGTGAAAAACTTGAATTGCGATTTTTAATGTCACGGAATAAGCTTGATCTGCTTATGTTATCGATGACATCGTAATGGCATTCATTCACCTATTTGATTCAATCTCAGCCAAGAGGAATCTTATTTGAATTGAATGGGTTATATATCGTAATTCATGAATGAAATGTGTGTATTTTTTATAATGTTATCCAGTTTGGTACTGAAGAGCCTTGGGGCAAGTGTCTTAAGGCGAAACATCGATGTACACCAGTGAGGATGACAGTGTTCCATGTAAGTGCAATTTGTTACCTTCCATTAAAAGTAGAACTCATGTGAATGATATCCGATTTTTATTCCACAACGAATGTTTGAAATACAAACTGAGTTGAGAAAAGTATCTTCTGTATAATTCAGTGTTCATATAGAAGTATTTGTTTCGAAAGATTCTTTTTATTTCGTATAATTCAATGTTTATATGAAAGTAGCTGTTTCAGGAGGACTTTCAGTTTGTGTCTGAAAGTTATTTCTTTGCATGATCTACATGATTACTTCCTTCCTTTCTTTGGAAGATTCCTCATCCTTTTTTTGTATCAAAATGGAGTAGTAGAAAGCCAAAAATCTTGAAATACTGTAAACAACGGTGTATTTTTTTCAAATTTGGACGAACCACATTGAATTTAGAGTTGATGTTACTTCCTTTATTCTCATGTTAGCATTTACTCAAAATGGGCACCTCCAGCTTCCATACAATAATAGAGATTCTGCTGGAAACGTTCTCGAACATTGTGGAGCATTTCTGGAGTAATTTGGCGACATTCATTTGTGATTCGTTGCCTTAAATCTTCGAGTGATGCAGGAGGAGTACAGTTTCCAGCCCATACATTTAATTTTTGTGGACGTTGAGTATGAACTTCATAAAAAATGTGAGGATTTGAATCAGCCCAATAGCGACAATTATGGCCATTACCTGTGCCATTTAGAAAAAAAACATTCATCACTGAAACGTCGATCAAAATCATCTTCATTCAGTTCTTGCGTTAATTTATTCTTGTAAGTATGCATTTTGTGGGTTTTTAAAATACGCCGAATGCTAGTTCGTGACACCCCGGAAACATATGCTAACTTTCTTGTGCTCAAATGATGGTCAAGCTTAACATGGCCCAGGATCACTTGTGTTGCCTCATTTGTTACTGTATGTACGATTTGCCGTTTTTATTTGCTACAGATTCAGTTGCGCGAAATTCTGCAATTAAATCGAAAACATACTGTCGCGACACATTCTTCCCATGTTGTTGATTGAACAGTTCAGCGGCTCTCGCAGCACAACGTCCATTTCCATAGTACAATTCAATCAATTCAACCCTCTCTGCAGTTTTGTAAACCATTGTTTCTTTAGCAACACTTTACGGCACTCACTACTAGTAATAATGTAGATATCACTTTTAACATGAAAATAAGAAATAGAAACATAATTTTTAACCATTTCACAATTGTAATAGTCCTTATATCAGAGAAGAAGAGAAGAACTGATGAATTAACAAAAAAGTAGCGTAAAAAACAAATACATTCCAACTGAGCAGTGGAGTACAACAATTATTCGAAAGAACTCTTTTGAATACGTCCAAATTTGAAAAAATGTACACCATTGTTCAGAGAATTCCAAGATCTTTCAAACGATGTGTGACTCCTATTCCCTATTAAAATTCCAAGGGTTATTCACCCCTCTGCTCCGGGGTTGAAGTGACGACGCTGTAAATGGGGAAAAAACTGTCCCCCTCCCAATGAAAATCGACCTGTCTGAGCGTTTTTCAGGATTTGCAAGATTAGTACCCAAAACCTCCATGTCAAGTTTTCGATGGCACACCCTGTATATGCAGCTTCTTTGATATATGTTGGAATTGGCCGATACTTGATGAAAATCCATAAGTAACGAATTTAAAAACACTTCATCGTGAGATTTTCACTGAACAGTTTTACAAACACAGCGACACGTGTTTCGCCCTACAATGGCTCCTTCAGGCGTGTCAGAAGTGAGGACACGCGTTTTTGTAAAACTGTTTAGTGAAAACCTCACTATAAAATATTTTTTGAATTCGTTAACCTCATTTGAATTTTCTCTTGAACCAGTGTTCCCCCCTGTGGAATTTCTCAGCTTGTGATCACTCGATGTGATGTTGATGAGTCCAAACATGCTCTCCTATTCCCGATTTGTTGGTTTCACCTCGCGGTGTATGTTTCTCGTGCTCGGCAATGCAGACTTTGAAAAGCCTCTTAGTTTCAGCGATATATGCTGCACTCACAGGTAAATGGAATTCTTGGAATTGTAGTTCGCGTTTAGTGGCCTGAGGCTGAGGCTGAGGCTGCTACGGATGGTGTTTCCGGATCTGGAGCAGGTTCTGATGTTGTACTTGGAACCAATTCTTCGTATCCTTTCTGACAATCCTCTGATGTAGGGAAGTACAAGTACTGGTTGTGACGGCTTCTCTTCCTTGCAAGACTCGTATTGTCTTCTAGCCAAAGTCTGTTCTACCATCACTCTGGAGTAACCATTCCGTCGAAGGTCATTTTTGATGATGCCTAGTTCCTTCTCGAGACCTTCCTTCGTATTACAGAGCTCGAAAGCTCGGTTTACTAGAGTCTTGATAATTCCTTCTTGATAGTGGTTGGATTTGTGGTTCAGATATTGCCCCGTGTGAGTGGGTTTTTGGTATACAGATGTTTCCCTCTTAGTGTCGGTCCTCTTCACCAATACGTTTAAGAACGGCAATTTGTTGTGGACTTCCTTTTCCATTGTGGAGATGATGGAAAGTCTTACGCTGTTGAAAGGTATCTAGTTCTGTATTTCCATGGTTCCATATTATGAAGATGTCGTTAACGTATCTCAACCAGACTTGGGGCTTCTTGTGAGTTTCTTCAATGGCCCGAGTTCCAAACCACTCCATATTCTGTATTTTTTTCTGAAAATATAATAGTTATTTTCAGTATAAAATATTTTTTGAATTCGTTAACCTCCTTTGAATTTTCTCTTGAACCAGTGTTCCCCCCTGTGGAATTTCTCAGCTTGTGATCACTCGATGTGATGTTGATGAGTCCAAACTTGCTCTGCTATTCCCGATTTGTTGGTTTCACCTCGCGGTGTATGTTTCTTGGCTCGGCAATGCAGACTTTGAATAGCCTCTTAGTTTCAGCGACATATGCCGCACTCACAGGTAAATGAAATTCTTGGAATTGTAGTCCGCGTTTAGTGGCCTGGTTTTTCTGAGGCTGCTACGGATGGTGTTTCCGGATCTGGAGCAGGTTCTGATGTTGTACTTGGAACCAATTCTTCTTATCCTTTCCGATAATCCTCTGATGTAGGGAAGTACAAGTACTGGTTGTGGCGGCTTCTCTTCCTTGCGAGACTCTTGCTGTCTTCTAGCTAAAGTCTGTTCCACCATCACCTTGGAGTAACCATTCCGTTGAAGATCATTTTTGATGATGCTTAGTTCCTTCTCGAGACCTTCCTTTTTATTACAGAGCTCGAAAGCACGGTTTACTAGAGTCTTGATAATTCCTTCTTGATAGTGGTTGGATTTGTGGTTCAGATATTGCCCCGTGTGAGTGGGTTTTTGGTATACAGCTGTTTCCCACTTAGCGTTGGTCCTCTTCACCAAAACGTCTAAGAATAGCAATTTGTTGTGGACTTCCTTTTCCATTGTGGAGATGATGGAGAGTCTCACGCTGTTGAAAGGTATCTAGTTCTGTATTTCCATGGTTCCATATTATGAAGATGTCGTTAACGTATCTCAACTAGACTTGGGGCTTCTTGTGAGTTTCTTCAATGGCCCGAGTTCCAAACCACTCCATATTCTGTATTTTTTTCTGAAAATATAATAGTTATTTTCAGCTATTCATTTTAGTATTTTAGTTATCGTCATATTAGACAATGGAAGTCTGAACTAATGAAATTCATTAATAAAGTCCATTGAAGTTTTTATGGTTTGCTTTATTTTCGTCGTAGTTGAGTTTGGACAAGAAGGGGGGGAGTATTTTAGCCTAAACTTCAAGGAGACGCATAGGGTAGATGAGAGCAGTCCAAATATCTACTGCTTTCATGTATACTTCAGTTTCAAAACTTGCCCCTATATTTTGAGAAACTGTATTGAATTAAAAAAAATGGTTTGGTGGGAAAAGTCATATTAGTTAGCCAAATCAATTTGAATCTTTCTTTCAGGGCCAACGAAAGATCAGCCATTATGGGTGTTAAAGAAACATATTTCGGCAATACAACTATTCCATATGTGAACACGACTGAACTATTCGTAAATAGTTCCGAACTGATGAACTATACGAAGGAACTAGTTTCCTGGAGCGAAAATATAAAACTTTCGGAGATTCTGGAACGAGCGACCGACCTTGGATTGAATAAAACGGTGATGGTGGCTTTACATTTGGAGCGGTTGGAATGGCGTGCTTCGAAAACTTTAAACCTCTATTCCATATTACTAATTGCATCAGTGCTTTTGGAAGTACTCAAAAGTATATTGATAATGCAGTTCACATACAAAGCGTCGATTAATCTACATAAAGCGATGATGAAAAGCATTATCCATGCCGGAATGTCATTTTTCGACAGTTACTTCATTGGTAACATTCTGAATAGATTTTCACAGGATTTGAATATTGTTGACGAAGTGTTGCCTATGTTTTTATCCATATTCATCGCGGTAATGGTCTGATTTGATTTGATGTGTTTGCCACTGAAACATTCTGATTTCAGGTTCTGTTCGCCCTTTTTGGAAATATTGGATTGATAGCATCTATAAGTTTGTCATTTATTCTTCCCGCGGTCATACTCGTCATTTCTTTGGTGCTTTTACGATTCATTTACATGCCTACAGCTAGAAGTTTGAAACGTCTGGAAGCCGCTAGTGAGTATCAGCTGAAATTATTTTTTCCCAAAATTTTTATAGGCTCAACGAAATAATAATAAGATTTTTTTCATTAGTCAGTAAGCTATGCTTGAAGACAGACAGTAAACAAATCTGAAGAAATTAGCTTTAAATGTTCAAGAAAACAACTACTCCTCCAGCTAATACCACGAACGGCGTTGGATTATATCCGACAGGCGTCAGTACAAGAATCTTCACAGAAAATTTCCAGCATATGCAATTGGCAATCCAGCTGAGAGAGTCGACTTTCAATTTTGGAACGAGCACACTTGCAGATCGGTTTCGGATTCCTTAGCCCTTCGTCAGTGCAACATAGAGTGACATTTTTGTTGTTCGCCCCAACTTAGGATGAGGAATGTGAAGGAATTTTGATTTTCAATTATGGAATATCATTAACTTTAGGGCGATGATGGCCACCATTTTGCACTGACGAGTGGCTAAGGAGCCCGAAACCGGTGTGCAAGTGTGCCCGTTCCAAATTTGAATGTTGACTCTTTCAGTTGTATTGACAATTGCATATGCAGGAAATTTTCTGTGAAGATTTCTGCACTGATGCCTGTCGGATATAATCCAACGCCGTTCGTGGTATTAGTCAGGAGAGTAGTTGCTTTCTGATAGGCGTCAGTGTATTCAACCTGCTGTGTAGATATATCCGAGACTGGCTTGAACATTTAAACTTCGAATTGAAGGGATTATATTTTCAGGAGTGATTATTTTTAGGTGTTTGAGTTAGGTGAATAAATAGGAAATATTCTCGTTCTCGTTCATCATTGAACATATATAGCTTCTTCTGGTGTGCCTCAGGGCTCCAACCTAGGTCCTCTTTTGTTTTCATTGTTTATTAATGACTTATGTGAAAGTTTAGCTTGTGAGCGATTATGCTTCGTGGATGACTTAAAATTATTTTCTATAATTAAGGAAGTAGGTGATTGTGTAAATCTTCAATCTCAATTACAATTTCTTGTTGCTTGGTGTAGCAATAATAAATTGAAACTCAATGTGGAGAAATGTAAAGTAGTGAGTTATAGTCGAAAAAAGAGGTTTATACATTCCCGTATGTAATACAGGATTCAGATCTGCTGAGATGTAATGAGATCAAAGACCTA